ATTTTCCCCACAGGTTCTGGGCTCTTGAGGATAGCTTATTTTACGGGCCGCCACTCCAGAAGCTCGGTGCCCGGCCAATCCAAAGACAAACTCCTGCATTCCGGAGCGCTCAGTTAGCCTGCCGCGCAAAAGCTTTGGATGCGTCTGCCGCGTTGGCCATGATTCCCAAGGTTTAGTCCTTCGTCCAATGCCGACGGCCAGGGACCAAACCGAGGAACGCGACCCAAAGCCCGAGCAATTTCAATCCAACCGGAGTCTTGAAAGCGCTGAACCCGGTCGGGCACCAGGGGAAAAACACAGGGAACGGACATCTATTGTCCAAGAAGAGTTGCATTCACTTTCACCGGCTCGTTTGACTTGAAGGGGTTCTGGCATACAACGGTCAGTTCTTGAGTTTCAGCCTGTCAAAACATGCAAGTACTCACTTCTCCCTGCAACAGTCAATCACAGCAGAACACAGCATTGCTTTGCTGCACGATTCGGTGGCTGTATTAGAGAATATGTTGCCAGCAGCCTCTATCTGAGAGAACCAACTCGAGCCAAAAACCAGAGGCCTCGAGTGAAATGGAAAGAACTGAAACGTCAGGACTGACCCTTGTTTCAGCGTGGTTTGTTCTCAGTTGATACTTCGTGGTGCTCAGGGAGGCAATTTTCAAGAGGGGCTGGAACGAGGATAGCTTAGAATTCTTCTGGAACATCCTTCCTTTCGGCCGGACCTCGTCGTCCTCAATTGGCAACTTGACTGAGTAGGGTGGCTGAATAAACACGAGCAAGCTACGCATAGCCATGCTGTTTGCGGTCTCTTTTCGGGCGTCAACAAAAAATAGCTTTCAGCACAAAAGTCAAGGTTTTCATAAACCTCAACACTTGAGGGCTGACTCCAGAGCGACAAGCCGGCATTGCATGGTAAAGAGGTCAACAGTTCCACGCTTTCTCACTCCCAACTCCCAACGTCAGGACAGTCTGCGTATAGCGGCTCTGGGTAAGGGCGTGTTCTTCAGGCGGCCAAACAGGCCGCGCAGACCCTGCGTTGCCCAAGTTCACACCTGCAGGGCTGAGCATCCAGACAGTCCACTCCTTGTACACAAGTTAGAGTGGGCGAATAGGGCGCAAATGAGGCTGAAGGGAACCCCACAAACAAAACCTTGGCCCTGTTTTATGGGTTTTGAAACTTGACGCTCTGAAACTGGCAGAACGTATCGCCGGCGCCCTTCTTGGCTCTTGGACTTAGTTCCAAAAGTAAGCATGAAGCATGAAATACGGCAAATCATGCAGGAACCTAGTATACATCCTCAGGAACCTAAGTTCGGAGATCCCTATTGATATTCCAAGGCGTGCTGCAGCTGATTCTTTGCTTTATCTTGCCAGGGTGCCGCCTCTATGTCCGAAGCCGTTCATAACAAACCATGGCTCGCCCCAAAATGGGTCTCCCTTACCCTGAGGCCTGCACAGAAACACATTTTGTGCTCTTAATGTTTGGAGCGAGCCAGTGGGGAAAAGGGAGGAGCGCAGTTGCTGCCGAACATGGCTGAACCAGATTCCAGCAACGACTACTGTATTTAAAGGGTTTTCTCTCATTTCCACTGTTTCATTCCAACGGCCTACACTGGCCAGACAAAAGTTGCGCTTCTTGAAGGCCAGAGCTACTACAACCCTTTCCCCGTAGAAACGGGGGTGCGCATGGGCATTTTCGGACCCGGAAAGCCTTTTACCATTACAAGTTTTCAATCGGTGTGATACTTGACCGTCCCACGGTTGTTACACAAACCGCACTTGTTAGTTCGATCCGCGGCTGACCGGGTAGTGTCTTTTCAAAACAGCCAAGAAGCATAATCAACTCTTGTCTGACTGAAGTATTGTCAATGTACAATGCCTTCCCTGCCCGCTTCACAAAACAGACAGTGTCTGGAACCAGTTGCGCTGACGCTTGGCTTGGCCCCCCGCGTGGCGCCCAAAGACTTGGTAGCTCCATTGATGCCTGCCAGGTCAGAGTTTAAAACCAGATTCAAGATTGAACCGCGTTGAACGAGAGTTCGTAACAACACATCCGACCCTTTTTGTGCACGTAAACCCTCTCCCCACACCACTTGCTTTTGTGAACCAGTAAGAACATGCCCATTTGCCCACACCCCCCACACTTGTTGTCCCCACTGACTCAAGGTCTCGTCTCATCTCATTACTGCACGGGGATGCCTCAAAATGGGGAACCACCCTCTTAGATGGCTATATAGGGGAAACCACTAGGATTTTAACAACCATCCACAAGGAGCCGAAGTGGGCCCAGAATCAACTGAATAAGCAGTACACATCACGCTGCTCAGGGGACGCAGCTCACGACATTCCCACGAGGCGCCAAAGCGTGTGGCCGCGACAAATCCGAGACACCTGCCGGAAATGTCGCAGGAAGTCTGCAGGAAATACTGAGCTGGCCAAGCAACAAACTTCGTTCAATATTTCCTATGTTCCCCAACCAAACAAATAGTGGAGGGTTTCTCATGATGCTTTGAACCGAGCAATCGCCCAACCGCCCAACACCATTTCCCATTTCACGCGCCTCGGCATCCTCACCGCTCGTGGCCTGCCCTGGCAAAAGACTGGGGTGGGACCGAACCTTCAAAGTTCCAAAAGGGGCAAGGCTGATGCACCCTACATGGGCCCAAACCATACGCAACCAAGTTAACATGGTTGTATGCCCAAATAGCGAACATGGCCAGCTTTCTTTGTTCTCCCTGTCAGACCCATCCACGTGTCTCCAATTTTAGGAAACCCTAGGGATTGACAAACAACCGCAAAAAACATGAGCCATAAGAGACTCTCAAGGGAACAACAACTGTAAACGATGCAACTTTCCCGGGTCTGCGCAACAATCAGACAGTAGCTGTTGGCAACGCTCAACCGGGATATGTGAGAACCTCCCAGAGTCCTTTCCATAGCTGCATCATTGGGGAAGTCACCAAACTTTGGCTGAACTTGGAAGTTCCCTCCAACTTCCCAAGTCTTGGGCGAATGCTCCGGTTCCGGAAAACTCACCAATTCTTTTGGCGCCTCTGTGGACGCTCGCAAATCATGGTTGCTATTCAGCACAGTGTGTAAGGTCCCAGTGATTCTGGCGATCAACATGGTTTCCTACTTGCCAAGTCTGTGATGATGGACACTTGTATTCTTGCAGCTGCAGTTTTCTTCTAGTTGTTTATTATATGCTTGTTTCTTGGCCGTGAAATGAATGCCTAAGTGTGCGTTGCCACCCCCCCAACCACAAGCGCCAGATCCAAGCAAGCGGGGTGGCACCCCACCACACCAGGCTCTGGTTCACCCCGAGGTCCAGCGGCGAGGCGATGCTCACCTTCCGAGAGAGATGGTCCGATTCGGGGGGTTGGGACGCTGTGTTGCGAGGTTTCACAGGCAAACGAAAATACAAGGAAACCCCAGCCATGTTTGGAGTCCAAAATCATGTTGGGCCAAAAGCACACCAACTGTTTCTTGAGTTCCCCGTTGGTGTCAAAGGGAAGCCGGCAGGGAAACTGCGCCCCCTGGTAGCCTTTTGGCTCAAGCAAGGGCTTGGTGCAAGTTTCGCGCACTGCGCTTGGCAAGTCTCAGAGCCATGTCGGAGACTTTGGCCGTATATGCTGACATCCAGCAGCTCATGTCGCTGATGGTCTATGATCCTGGCGGGTTATTTGGTGCGCCTGATGGTGGAGTTGTGCACTTGCGCCAACAGCGGCTGTCTGCATATACGGCTCGGGGAAGAGCAAATGGCAGAACAGCAGCACCGGGCGGTGCTTTCATGGTACTTCGTGGCATCATTTTCCGCTTGGTATGATTTGTGCCTCCGCATTTCGGGGGCTCTACAGCCCCGTGCTGCGAATGCTTTGCCCGCGTCACAAAGTGGCTTTCCGATGCAGATGCAGATGCGAAAGGAGGAATGGACGAAGATTGATCGGGCCGGCTTTGTCGTTCTGCCTTTTGCAAAGTGGTGTGTGGAAGAACCTGCTGGTCAGTGAATAACCCGGCGGCGGAAGGAATGAGACGCATGAGAAGCTGTTCGCCGGTCTCGCCTAGCTGCTAGAGGAGGAAGACCTTTGTTGCTAAGCTCACAGCCAACACCATGGGCGAGCTCAGAGCCCTGAAGAGCCGTGGACTGAGGTTCGGAAGAAGCCGAAACCAAACCGACAGGTCACGATGTGCGACGCCGAGCCATCAAAGGGGCAGGGATTTGCCGTCAAAGGGCAAGGGCTAGCGAATTAGCCAAGGGAAGGGGAAGGCAAGCCGAGACATGCAACTCAAGAAGGCACACGTGGCAGTAAATCGCATCTGGTTGGTGTGATTGCAGCACGGACATGGCAGCATCAGCAATGCATGACTGACTTGCATGCTTTTGAGGAGACTCTGCATAGAGTCTTCGCAAATGGACAAGCAGAAGAGAAGTGCCACGCGTGGCGGCCTTGCAATACAGTGAACTTCGCATATTGCAGTGGCCCAACATGCCTACATGCAGCGTTGCGTGCATGCACGTGCAGTCATGACAGGGGGGTGCAGTGAGTGCCGCGTGTCTCCAGTGTTGTGGTGGCTTCGCGGAATCATTCATGTTGGGAATGCGAGGATCTCCTCGCCTGTCCCGAGAGATGAGCTGCAGAAACGGTTGGGCTGGCGTGATTCGCGTGATTTGCAATGGGTGGGTGTCGGCCATCAGCAACGGCCTGGTGCTGCTTATCACACATATACTTTGAGACATACCCAAATTTGTGTGCTTCCAAATCCGCTCTAAACAATTGAGGAAGCATCTACGCCATGCAATAAGACAAGGATATGCTTCTGTAAAGACCAGAAATGGAAGCTCCCGCAAGGGACTTGGCACCACATTGCTAGAGCGTTCCAAGTCCCTGTGCCTTGTCACAGGTGTCAGGGATTACCATGTACTTGGATGCACAGTCCCTCCAAGGGCCAGATGGGGCGAAACAAATGAGCTCCAGGACACGTCAACTCCGCTCGCGCGCTCTTTTGTGCTCAGGCCGCTGGGGCTTGTCGCGTCATCTCACTGTGTGGGGCGTAGACGGGCCTGCCCTCTGCCAAGAGCTGGTGCCAAATCTGCCTCGGGTTTCGTCATTGAGAGGCGCTTATGCACGATTGCTTATGGTTGTCTGTGAGATGCCCAAACTGATTCCCAAGATCCTGGTGATTCCCATTGAGAACTAGCAATTTTGAAAGCAGCTTCACTTGCATCAAATTGTCACCTTGCAGTTTGCTGTGAGCTCGACAAAGCCCAGAACCTGCGCCCAGAAGTTTCCACCCTGGGGCGCTCTGAGAAAGTTCCCTTCTGTTTGGGCACCCCTGCAATAAGGGCGGCAATCCAAGGGTTACAGTGCTACATCTGGTGAGAATCGTAATTGTCATCCCTTGCACTTTTTGCTCTTGAGAAGAACCCACTTCCTGCCGTAGCACAGCCTTTCCGATATCTGCGCTCTGACGTAGGGGCGGAATCAATTGGGGCTCGATGCAACTCACTGCCTCCCTTCCCTTCGCGGCAAGCACCCAAGGCACTTGCCGCCCACGAGGTCTTCGGGGACCGCAGCGCAAAGGCCCCAGTCGCCCCGCGCCAGCTCGCCCAAGAGCTGCGTGCGCTGCCACCGCGCTTCCCCCCAGAAGACCAGCGCCTCGCCAAAATGAGCAACAAAGGCAGCGGCAACAACAAGCACATGGCGCGTGCGCCTGTGTGTGCGTGCGCGCGCGTCAAAACGGGCAACCCGCCAAATGGTAGGTCTTCTGGTTCTCTTAAAACCAAGGTGAAAAGGGCACCCTCAACTGCATGAATCACAAATACAGCAGCGCACGAAATGGGCGGGTGTGTGACGCAGACACGAGAAGCAAAGGCCGAGGGCAATCTCCCAAGTGATCCCAACCAGTGAACAGAGTCAAGCACCAGAAGTGCTTCATAGGGCAACCTACGTTTCGGTGGTTGGACATCCCTTCCCACGATTGTTCCTGCATACTGCATAAACGCGAAATGGGGCAAGCAGGTTGTCTAGAGGCCGCGGAACATAATCTGTTGTTTGGCACCAACCGGACAATACCGCGGCCAGTTTACCATTTAACCGGATTCCTCTGGTGGTCTTGCGATCGAGCCAACAGCAAGTCATTCTTTGACAACATGGGATAAGATTTGGGTAGGATGGAAAACAGTTGCAGTCCCATGCAGTTACACAGGTGCGACCACGGTCAGTGGGTGGCTTCTCGTTTCGCAAATGTGGCTGCAGCTACTGGCAGGGACCTTCTGTCTGCTTAGTTTTGGTGGAGCGTTCCAGGCTTGGGCAACACTTGGTGCCCTCCAAGGCAAAAAGCAATGCTTGTGCAAAGCAGGATCGAGATTGCCCCAAGTCGCTAGTGCTTTTTGAATGTTTTGAACGTGGCTCATACGGCTCCGCAGTCGCCACCTCCGCCTAGCACCGGCTCATTGGTGATTGTGATGATAGCTTTGCCATGCCAGCTTGGAACAACATATGATATGTGAAACTAATCAGAAAATCATACCAATGAACTAACCAGCGTTGACAACCAAAAAACGGGTGTGTCTTTTTATGAAGGTACCCGAAATTTCAAGAGGGAAGCAAAAAGAAAAACCATCCATAAGGGTTCTCCTGTTGAGATGAACATGACGGGCCACTACATGTCGCATTCTTCCCTTCCGAATTTTGCTGCCGGCCTGTCCCTCAGCCTCAGCCGCGTCGCCCGCCTACACTTCAAAGGCACCATCAATCACTGGGTTTTTTCGGTGGGCTCAGGGTGGATTAATGGCTGGGTTTCGGATGGGTGTGGGCTTGGTTTAGGGTCACCCAGAAAGGATTTGAAGAAGTGTGCTGCCTTCGGTTCCATTCGATAGTGGATGGCTGCTGCAAAGAATCAGCCATGCAGCAAATGTGACGAAGCAAACATGATGACTTTCAGCAAATCTTCTCTCAAAGGGCTGTTGAGGCTGGGTCTCTGGAGCAGCGCGATAACGAATCACGAAATACAATGCCAAAGTGCACATGTAGTTGTCGCAGGCTCGCAGATCACATCCCGAATATGCGCCCCAAATTGGAAAGCTGGTACCAGTCTTTCCCATTGCAGGCAAAGCAACAGTTTGGAACCTAGGAAGAGATTTGCCGGATTGACAAACACGGGCTGCTTCCGGGACAAGCATGCAGAACAAGATCGAAAGTTGAAGTGAACGAATCACCCTCGCATGGGTTCCTTTTTTTTTGAGATTTCTGTTTGGGCTCGCTTCAAACAATGTCCTTAGATACAAACTCATGGCCCAGCTTCCAGAAGCTCACCGCTAGCCTCGAGGCGTCGGCGCTTGCCTTTGCGAACGAGGGGATGTGCCACTACAAATGGACAAAATCTTGCGCCGGTTGGAGACAACGAAGCCCTATGAATACCGGGAGAAACCACTTACCAGCTCGCGCAGGAGTTCGGCACTGCTCAAATCAACCGAAAGTCGCGAACAGGAAAGCATTAGAGCCGTTTGCCTCAACTTCTCGCATTCCCAAGCCCCAGTATAAATGCCGTGCAGGGCTCGGGGATTCCATGATCTAAACAATGATCCTGCACAAATGTCGATTGCCAAAGCGGACGTTGCGTCCAACCTCGATGCGCTGGTTGCTCAACTTGACCCCGCGCAACCCATCTTCATTTGGAGACATTGCCAGTTGGGGATGTCCGCAAAGGGGGGCGTCTTTTGCACGGCTTCTAAGAAGCAACCACTCTAAGCCTCCCGTACTTTGGGATAGCCCCGTTTCTTGCTTTTCTTGCGTGGTTGTGCCCGAACTTAGCCCCGACTGCTTGGACTGGCGGCATCTTTCCTGGCTCTCAGAAGAGTTGAGGAAACATAAGCTTACGTGATGTTTGTCTACCTGCTGCTTGAGAGCCGCTGATCATCTTGCAACCCTATTTCAATGTCCCCTGTTGCTCCCTTTTCTATGCTAGTTACTAGCCCAACTCCCAGCCACCGGCAGGGCCCCTCAAAAGATAGGCATTGTGGCTTCGTCGAGTATCACACTTTAGAAGAGTCATACTTTGCCAGCCTGTGAAATCAGGGATCCTCTAGAAAACAATCTTCATGAAGGGCACATCCCCTTTCAACCATTGAACATGCCACGACTTCCTGGTTGCTGAACAAGTGGGTCTGATGATCTCGCGAACGCAATTATGATACTAAGGCGTGATTCCGAGTGTGTATCTATACAGATGACAATACGCGTGCCGCTAGTCAATCGAATGCTTCATGACTAAAGACTTTCTCACAAATTTGGGAAGCCGCATTTATTACTCATGAGCGAAATCTATAAACAACCCGCAGTTCAAGATATGTGTGTGACAAAATCAGGGGATCCCCTCAAATTCTGGCCTTCCTTCTTGCTTCCCTTTCGCCGAGCCTGAAAGGAACCCGCAAAACAATCAATTGCACCCATGTGTATACATATATCTATATATGTATATATATATAATACACACATTCTCTTGAAGGAACCTACCCTTTACCTTTGAGCTCCAGTGGCCACTTTCTTGGCAGTGGTTTCCAAAGGGAATCCCCTCCAAAAACGCAAGCCACATGCATCACGGGTTGATACAAACTAGTAGCACCCGGTCTAAGGAACCAACCGCCCCTGCGGGTGCAGGTGCTGGGAGGGTCCTCTAGCGCCAGCGGCGCGAAGTCTGTGGCCAATGCCACACCCAGCTGCTCCAGGGTCCGGAGACCACAACCTCACAGGCCAATGCAAGCATAGAATTACATAATACGTAACATCTCGATCTCTCACTCGCGCTCTGTATATATATATATATGTGTACACATTGACATATACGAATTTATCCTGCCCCCCAAAAGAGCCCTTCAAAGTCTCAAACAACACCCTCAAACACCTGCCAAAAGCACTCACGTTAGAAGTTCTAAGTTAGAAGAGAAAAGCTCGCAGTCTGCCAAGAACTCCCACAGCGCGCGAGAGCAACTATATCCCAACTCAAACCAACTTCCGTAAGAGAAAAACAACACTTCAACAGCAAGGGCGGCCCATGGAGTGGAAGAGGTAGAAACAGGCTAGGAAAACTCAATCTTCCCCCTACCCCCAGGTGGCAGGTCCAGAATCGAGGCAGCAAAATTCCATGTGTTTAGAGACAATGCCCAGGTGCAGGTAGCTGCCTTGTCTTTTGTTCAAGCCCCCCTCTACACAGGACGCCTCCCTTCGTCTTTGCTTACTTGTCTGCCTGGTTTCCTTCCCGCATCTTCCCGCCTATCTCTCTCTTTTTCTATCCGGATGTCTCTCTGTGTCTGTACTGTACGCATGTTTGCGCGTCAGTGACATCCATGCAAATATAGAACAATTCGAACCGCTTAGAAGTCCGCAGTCAAAGGGTCACCGGCAGGCGACACCGTTTTCCACTTGAAACACTGCATCATGTGATTGGGTACATGAACTGAACAACCGTGACCACCTGCCTGAAATAACCGCATGACGAATCCTTGATGAGCATCCCTGTGCCTCTAGCCAAGCCGCCGTAAAATTCCCCAAGTCCAACGTGTGTCGGCATGCGCACTGGAAAAACCTGATGCCCTTGCTTCTTCTGGGCCGAAGTTAGGCAAACACGCAAGTTTGAGTCTGTTCCACGGTCTGCATGGTATGGTATCAAAAGTATGCACTGAACCAGTTGCACTTTGGAGGACCCCCACATGGATCGCACTTCTTTCAACCACTTGCAATGGCAACGTTTGAAGGAAAACCCAACATGCCTAACAAACACACATGTGGCACACAGCAGGAGCACCTACCCAGGAATAGTTGATGTGAGGCGCTAAACCATCACACACACAATTCTCATCTGATCCAAGCCAAACCTGTGTGTTAGAACCTCTTTGAGGTTTGATGAGTTACGCCCTTAGACCAAGCCACCCTGGGCCTGCAGCAGCTGCGGCGGGCAGCAGGATGGTGGGCTGAGCAGGAGCGCAAGGGCCTGAGCTGGGCTAGTG